GAAAATAAACCCATACCTTCCGTGTAGAGTCATCAATGAATGTAACATAGTAGCGGGAACCTCCAATTGAAGAGACCTTTGTAGGTCCATAGACATCTGAATGAATCAACTCCAGCCGCTCAGTCTTGGGTTGTTGTCCTGTCTTCACAAAGGTTACCCTCTTTTGTTTGCCTAGAACACATGGCTCACAAAAGGTCAACTTTGAATTCTTCAAATCTGGGATTTTGCCCTTTGAAGACAGCATCTTCATTCCGTTCTCACTTATGTGCCCAAGTCTTTGGTGCCACAAAGTAGAGACCCCTGTATCTTCAACTGCTGCGTTTGCCCCATCTGTGGACACTTCAACCATGTACAGTGTACCATGCTTCTGCCCACGAGCAATGACCAGCTTTCCCTTTGTTACCTTCCATTGCTTGTTGCCAAAACTAACGTTATGGCCTTCCTCATCAAGCTGTCCTACTGAGATCAACATCTTCTTCAGGTCTGGAATATACCTGACATCTTTCAGCCTCCAGGTTGTACCCAAAGTGGTACTGAGATCAACATCCCCAATACCCGTGATCTCCAGGGATTTATCATCCGCCAAACGAACTCTTCCGCCGTAGGGCCTGAAATTTTTCATCAAATCCCTGCAATGACAAGCATGAAACGACGCACCTGAATCCATGATCCAGGACTCAACTGAATTCTCAACGCTGCAAATTAGAACATCTTCATAATCCTCTGCCACATTCACCTCCTTCTTGCCTTTGTCTGCTGGGGCTTTTGGGCATTGATTTCTGAAGTGTCCATTCTCCTTGCAATTCCAACAATTGATGTCCTTCCTGTTCTTGGATTGACCCCTCTTCCTCGACTTTGATCTTCCCTTCTTGTTACCCCCCTTTAGTGGATTTTCTGCCCCTGTCTTCAGTACTCAACAAACTATTGGAGCTATCCCCCGAACTTCTCCTCCGGATATCCTCACCAAGGATTAAGTCACGAATACCTTCAAAGGAAAGCTTAGTGGTTCCAGCCGAACTACTAACTGCTGTGACTGTACCGGACCAACTATCGGGCAAAGATGATAACAAAAGTAGTGCTTGAACTTCATCATCGAATTTAATCTCAACCGAGCCTAACCTGGATATGATTGAATTAAACTCGTTGATGTGATCTGTCACGGATGCACCTTCCTTCATTCTTGTATTCACCAACTGTCTGATTAAGAAAACCTTGTTGGCCGCTGAGGGTTTCTCGTACATGTTGGATAACGCCTTGAGCAGTCCAAACGTTGTCTTCTCGTTGACGATGTTGTAAGCAACGTTTTTCGCCAACGACAACCTCACCACACCAAGAGCCTGTCGGTCCAACAAGTTCCACTCCGCCTCCGCCATCGTCTCTGGTTTGTTCTCAGACAAGGGTAGATGAAGCTTTTTCTGGTAGAGATAATCCTCGATTTGCATCTTCCAGAAAGCGAAATCTTGACCATCAAATTTATCGATCTTAACCTTCCCTTCGTCAGCCATAGCTCTGATACCAGTTGTTAATTATCACGATTAGGCTAAGATAAACGATAAATTTAAAGCAAGAACACAAGAATTTACGTGGTTCACGCAATCGGTGTGATTACGCTAGTCCACGACGAACGAGAGAGAGATATATTATTATTCCGGCGTCTGGTGTGTTTACAGATACATTAGGGATGTTTAAATAGGTTTAAGAAAGCCTAAATAAGGGTTAAGGCCGCAGGCCCAAAAATTAATCCCGTCATTAATTTTTCCCGTATACTCGATCGAGTATACATACATACTCGACCGAGTATAGATTCCAGAATTCTGCCCGAGTAGTGTTTTTACACATACTCGACCGAGTATACCTCCATACTCGATCGAGTATAAACTCCAGAATATAACCCGAGTAACCCTTACACGCATACTCGACCGAGTAATGATCAATACTCGATCGAGTGTAGAAACCAGGGAAATACTCGAGCCATCAAACACCTCATACCCGATCGGGTAACCCAACATACCCGGTCGGGTATATACTCCTGCATTCCAAACAAGGCTCCATCTTCAACATCTGTGTACATAGGCAATGTACACATGTTGTGTACATCTTCGGTTAATATTCTCTCATATGAAGAGCAAATTTGGTGAGCCTGTTTTTGACTTATCAGCCGAATTTTTCACCAAACACGTAACTTTTTATTTCACGCGGTAAGTCGTGTAACAATAAAAAAGTAAGGTTGAAGTTACTTTTATGGCTCTATTCACTTAAGTTACTGTAGAGGATCATTTTAGCTATTTTTAAATATTATTTTTTCTTTATTTTTTAATAAAATATATTTAATATACTACGTATAGTTTTTTTTATAAATTAGCAGAATCAGCCAATATAGCCACTTCAACCAGAACTCCATAAATATAAGCAGAAACAGTCGATTCAGCCGATTTCAGTGTTACCAAAAAGGTTCGAAATAGTTTTCAAACCATATTGAAAAATTCCCTGCAGGTTTTTACATGTCGATCAAATTGTCTGTGTACAGACAATTTGACTAGTGTTTTATGAAGAATATCGATTTTCACACAGACATAACTAAAAAAAATATCTGTATCACAGACTTTTTAAAATTCTCGTTTAAAATTGTTTGTATCATGCACAAACATTTTATGAAAAATTCTCGTCTAAAACGTTTTTTATACAAACAACTTTTGATACAAACGTATTTATTAATATTTGAGATCTATTTTTGAAACATTTTGATGAACTCGTTTCGTTACACATTTTGAAAATATTATTTTACCCTAATAGAGAAGAAGACATCTTGGAGTCAAAGTTATGCAATGACAAAGAAGGAAAGAGAGCGTTGCAACTAAAGACAAACGGTGGAAGCATTACATAAAAGTAAGGATGTTTTTTTAATCTTATTTTAGTCCTAGACTCAAACAGACCAGATTAGATCACGACAATTGTTAAATACACAAAAATCATACGCCTACCAGATCAGACTAGATTAGATCTGATCAGACTAACTCGGATAAAAAAAATTCAGTCCAAGTAAAAACATCCTTAGACTTAAATTTAGATTTGTTAAATTGAAAATATTTAACCTAATTTAGTCAATTAACTTATGCATGTATACATTCTTAGTCCAGTAACTTTACGCATATATATGCACATAGTAAGAATAGTACTACCTCCGTCCCATTCAAAGATTCCCATGGCAAAATGACACTATTATTTAGACAATTATTAAATATGCTAATTCGAGTATATTTTCATAAATAATTTTGATGGATATATAATATAATGGGTTGTTGATGGTAACTGTGATGTTATAAATGTATTATTTTAAGTATTTGATGATTAAATTGTTATTTAAGAGTGTATATTGTTTCCTAAAATAGAAAGAAAGAACCTTTAAGTGGAACGTCCAAAGAAGGAGGGAAATATGGAAGGATTCACACAAGTCAAAAGAAGAAGCAAGCAAAAACACAATCTCCAAATTCTCTCCAAACTTGATTGCTAGAATCCATTCAAAAAAAACCTCAAAACGAAGCGGACTACTTTCTCTATCCAGTGGACGAGAGGTTTGATTCACCTCATAAACTGGCAGCAGCTCTACAGCACTTTAAAGTAACTCACCCGGAAGAATTAGCATTCAGGCCTTATCTCCGGAGAGCAATCAAGTTTCACAACAAATTTAACAGATCCATTTCTGGTTCTGTTGGAATCCCCAAAAAAATTAATTGTTGATGTAATTTTATTCTTGTTCCTTCCATTAGTCATGTTCTTTCAGCTTCACATATGTAATATCAACTTTATTGTACTCATAACCTTATTTTAATAAATTAGGGAGGTGTTTCCCGGCGCCACCACCACCCTCTCACCCAGTGTGTCTTAAACCCGGATAATAATAATAAAAAATGAACATCCGAAAAAAGAAAGTGGGAACCTTTGAATGGGACAGACGGAGTAATGTTTTTGTCTACAAATTATATTTTAGTAAATATTTAAGGAAAGAGTTTTTTACAAAAATATTACTCTCTCTGTTTCTATTTCTTCGACATAGTTTGACAAGTCAACATCTGAGGAATTTTTAACTAAGGGGTAAATTTTATTGTTTGAACATTGTTTGGATACTATTTGACACTGTTTCGACATTGTTTGGACACTGTTTGAACATTGTTTGACACTGTTTTGCACTGTTTTGTTTACCAAATGAGAAGTGTGGCATCCATTTTGACACTTCCAAAAAAGGAAAGTGTGTCAAAGAAATAGAAATGGAGGGAGTACTAATATAAAACTTATTTACAAAAATATGACTATTAGTTACTACAATTTAGTGTTGTAGTAACTTAAGTTTGAAAATTGAACATAAGTTACTATGATTTCATTACTACTCTAGCCAATAATCACATCTTTGTAAACCGTCTTCATTTTAGTCATAAATATGTAATTATTTCTTAAGGAAAATCTCTACAAAACACATATGAACATATTCAAAAAGTGGCATCTTTGAAACTTTGGTGGGAGTTCCAAAAGGGTGGATCAATTTGGGCTTCAGTGATGCAAAGTAAATATGGTAAAAGGCCACTGGGGGAGGGCAAGCCTTCAGACTCTCCTACCTGGAGGAGAATCAGTCAAATACATTAGCAGACTCCATTACCAAAGTTTCAGCAGTGAACTATTTAATACATTTGGGTAATTTAATACATTTTTTTGTATAATTTAATACATTTTTCTACCATTTTTATTACATTTGGGTTTTTATTATAGACTAACTTTGGTGTCTAGTGTGCCCCGCTCTCACAAATCTCTTGATCTACCACTGAATATAAATACTACGTATTTCCTCTCAAAAAAATAAATACTACGTATTTACGTACTCCGTATTTTATTAGTCATTTATTATGCCCATAACACCGACCTTTACATATTTTTGTTATGCATAGTACTAGTATTTAATTAGAGTCTTTAATTCATATCCGTAACACCTACCAGCTTTATACGGCGCGTACTCCGTAGTATGGAGTATATATCATTCCATCATCGAGCGACGATTACCTCAGTCATCTGCAGGCTTTCTGTTAGCTCAAACAAAGAGCTAGCGATGGAGTTGGATAGTGCGCTGAGCTTCCTGAAAGATAGAACCATTCTTATCACCGGCGCCACCGGCTTCTTGGCAAAAAGTACGTAAACTATAGCATTGTTCATTTAATTAATTTGTTCTTTCTACATGCACGTACCCTTCAATTCATTTCTTTTGATAGTACTTCGTATACACACATACATGTACGATGAATCAAACTAGAACAATATTCATATGTGATACATAATGAAACTCGTGTCTTCAATGTGTCTTACACTTTTTAGCTTCAACATACACAGTAATAATACGTATGTAGTAGTATTTATTGATGATATCGCGTTTATGTGATCTTGTCATGATTTGATAAAGTTAAAATAGTCCATCAAATGAACTTCATTATTGTTGATCACATTAATTTGAAACCGTTTTGTTCGCACGATAAGTGTTGTTTTTCACATTACATATACATATAAAGAGAGCCTGGATCAAATAAAAAGTTTATAAAAATTTGAATTGCACATCTACCGATCTACACGTATACACATACACCATTTCTATGGTGAACGCAGGCCGGGCCGTGCCTATTTGGAGGCTAGTAAGGCAAATGCCTCACCTCAATGTTTTAAAAGAAACTTGGGCCCGAAAATGTAAAAATGTACTTATACGGAGTATATTATAAGGGGCATGCATATATTTATAATATAATTTGAGTTTATTTTTAGATATTTAAATTAAACTGAATTCCCTCGTCTCATCTATGTGTTTTCGCCTACAGATTTGTTCTTTAACAGTTTAAATATTAAATAAAATACTCCTATATATTGTTTACTTTTTTAAAATTGGAATATTATCTAAATAGTTACTTTTATCAGTTTTATGATATTATTATATTTTACATAATAGAATTTATATTATGCAGTAGGTTTTTCTAAAAAGATCAACTCGGGTCCAAATTTGGTTACTTTTGCGATTTTATTACTTTATGCAAAATAAATTGAACTATAAAAGTGATGAGAGATAGCTAGCTACATATCTTAGATAACTTGAGCCAAACCAAAATATAGTTATGATTAACGATGAGTCAATTACTGCATTTTACACAATTGCAAGAAGTGCACTTTTTGTAAGCAATTTTGAAACTTTTGCATGAAAGTGGTCATAAAGAGGCCGTTTGGTAACACTGTTTTTCGGCTTATGAGACTTATCGGCCAACTTTTTCACCAAACACGTAATTTTTGCTTTCGCGTGCTGAATTGTGTAATAATAAGAAAAGGTAAGGTTGGAGCTACTTTTCTGGCTGTATTAGCTGAAGCTACTGTAGATGACCCTTTCAGCTATTTTTACATATAATTTTTTCTTTACTTTATTAATAAAATATAATTTAAAAATAATTTTTTCTTAAATCGGCAGAAGCAGCCAATGCAGCCACTTCAGCCAAAACTTCATAACTTTCAGCAGAATTAGCCAAATCAGTCGATTTTCGTGTTACTAAACGGGCTAAAAAATGCACTATATATAGCAATATAAAAATAAATGTTTCGCATTTCATCAGTCAAACGCCTTTTTTATTTGAAGTACCACCTCTTATATACGTACATTGCATACATAGGAAAATATTCATGTAATTAAGGTGTAGGCCTAAAAGTTAAAATTTTAGGCCTCTTGTAGTTGAGGGGCTTCCGGGATGAATTTTTTGATGAAATTTTGTGAGAATGTTCTACATTAAGTGTATATTATATCTACCAAATTTCAGATTAAAATTTAATCGGAAAGTCACTCAAATAATGTTTTAAAATTAGGCAGTTTTTATACATGTAACACGCACTTTTTTTCAATAATTTACTCCCTCCGGTTTTTAATAAACTTCACACTTTCCTTTTTGGGACGGTCTAAAATAAACTTCACACTTCCTTATTTCCTTTTTTGGCAAAGAAATCTATATCAAAACAGTGCCAAACAGTGCCAAACAGTGGCTCAACAGTGCCAAACAGTGTCTCTACAGTGCCAAACAGTGTCAAACAGTGCCTCAACAGTGTACTCTACAGTAAAGTCAAATTTCTTTCCTTATTTTGTGTGAAGTCAAACTGTGAAGATTAAAAGAAACCGGAGGTAGTAGTTAACAAACTTCCCGATTGAATTTTAAGTTGAAATTTGGTGGGCATAACCTACACTTCACGGAGAATATGCTCACAAAATTTTATTAAAAAATTCGACCCGGAAGCACTTCAAATGAAAGAGGCTTAAAAATTCAAATGTAAGAACACTACCCTACATACATATGTTAATATATATGGGGTGATTTCATTTTCACAGCTAAACTCTAAAATTATCGGTTGTAGTTTTTGTGGAGAAAATTCTTCGAGTTCAGCCAAATGTGAAGAAGCTGTTTCTTCTTCTGAGGGCCGAAGATACCACTACGGCCAGACAACGTTTGAACTATGAGGTACACCATGTCCCACAGATTTATAGACTTGATTGCTTCCTTTTTTACGTAGTATCATTTTCAGATTCAGAGTTTACGTTATTGGAAATTTGACATCCTACCTACGGTTAGCTCAATTGGTCGTGAGAAATTTGAATCAATGGGTCAAGGTTCGAATCCCGCAACGATCGCGTGGAGATTATAGAACTTGAAATAAGGTTGAACCACCTACTATCACTTTGTTGACTGAGTCACTATAATATACTTCGTCATTATTCTGTCAGGTCAGGGTGTAGGGCTTTTAGGATGGAAGATTTCACCCTTTTAATTTGGATCAATGGAAATTTGACATCCTTATTAATTTATGACAACATCGGCTTCTGACATAAAAATATACGGGTACATCCGTACATTAATGAATAAAGGTGTATGTTGTGGAAGGGATCCGGAGCCTCTACCTTACTTTAGAGTAAGGTAGAGTGCCTTGCTTCCTCCCGGTCGTCCGATCGATAATTCAACGGTCGGAGATCTTGGACTCCACTTTTTCGTCAATCTCGAGGCCGTGTTGGCCGCTCCCCTCCCGTCCGATGTGCAAGGCACCTTCCTAGTCGGGTAGAGGATCCCAATCCGTTGTGGAAGTGCCCGCCAACAACCAAGAAATAGTTACGCTAGCGATTAATAATCTTTGTTATTACGTTTAAAAATGTATGGGTATGGAAGTCAAACTATTTAAAAGTAAAAAAGAATGAAAGTAGTGCAAGCTAGTTTTTGTTCTTCAAAATTTGGTCAGAGTTGACTTCCAAATAAAACAATAAAATATGAATTTTGTGTTTGAAATTTATGCAGAAAATATAGAAATAAGTTTAGTTACATACTCCCTCCGTCCCAATATAAAAGGCACACTTTCCTTTTCGGTCCGTCCCAATATAAAAGGCACATTTCCCTTTTTGGCAAACAAAACAGTGCAAAACAGTGCCAAACAGTGTCCAAACAGTCCCAAACAGTGTCTAAACAGTGTCAAACAGTGTTCAAACAGTGTTCACCCTTAAAAACTCCCCAAATGCAAATGTGCATTTTATATTGGGAGGGAGGGAGTATTTATTACTATGTACTTCATCTCGGTCTTTTATTTGTGGTTCTCATTCTTTCTCTCTTATCACAAATATCAACCCGCATTGTTTTTACTTGTTAACTTCATCCGTTTTTACTTTTCTTATTCAATGTTGAAAATTTCTTGGTTAATAATGGAAAGAACAAAGTTAATCGAGACGGCTAATAAAGAAAGTTGAAAATTTTAGTAGGACAGAGGTAGTTCAATTGATATCATCATATCAGTCAATGTAAAAATAAGTTTACCCGATATTGGTAATATTTTAAAATAAAAGTATTGGAAAAATATGGGACACTACTACATCATCATTGTTTCTACTATATACTCTGCCTAGCTAGCAAGAGTTATGAATACAAATAATTCTTCCGATCCGTCTTAAAAAATTCGTAAATTTCTTTATGTAAGAGTCTAAAAACTTTGTTATTTTTATTTACTATAAACTTTCAATAATATATACGAAGTATGTCGCTATAACTTCTCTACTATAAACTTTCAATAATATATACAATATATTACCCATTTCACTCCTAAATAAGCTTTACACTTTCCTTTTTGGATAGGTCCGAAATAAACTTCACACTTTCCTTTTTGGATAGGTCCAAAATAAATTTCACACTTCTATTTTTGGCAAGTTTTTAACATAAAGTTACCCTTATACCCTTATTTTATTATACTTTACACACACTTTCTCTCCCCCACTACACTTTCACCTTTTGTATAGTAGGGGCATGATGGGAAAGTCAAAAGTAAAAATTCCACTTTCTTAAAAACCGTAAAGTGAAACTATGAAATTTATTTAGGAACGTAGGGAGTATTAAATATATAAATCAACTTTGGTCAAGTTTTATCAGACAGAAAGTATTACGTACATACGGAGTATGAGCTAATAACACTAGTCCACAGCATTGATGACTATGCACACCTATATACCTAATACTTCCTCTGTCCCTATTTGATGGTCTCATATTTCCTTTCTGGGTCATCCCAAATTGATAGTTCCATTTCTCTTTTTGGAAAGAAAGATGTGGTCCACATCATTTCACCTTTTTCTACTCAAATCTCAACCGACAACTTTTACCTTTTCAACCACTTCTTTAATCTTTGAGCCCAAAAGAAATGAGACTCTCATTTTGGGACGGAGGTAGTAGAATTTAATACAAACATGCATGCTATGGCAAGCAGAGTTCATACAGTAAGCTAATAAGTATTTGCAGGTACTGGGAAAAGAGTTGTTCACAGTCTTGAAGGAAAAGTACGGGGAAAGGTGGAATGGTTTAGTTTCAGAACGGGTGAAGGTGGTGGCGGGAGACATCTCTCTTGAGGATTTGGGCATCAAAGATTCTAATTTGTTGGACCTGTTATGGCGGGAAGTCGATGCTGTGGTTAACCTGGCCGCGACTACTAATTTTGATGAACGGTATTAATTACTTTATTAATTACTTCGTATATGTTTAGCTCACCTCTCTCTCTGTATATACTACCTCCGTCCCAAATTGATTTGCAAATTTGACTTTTCTTGGTCAAACAGTTTCGTTTTATTCGCTTAATTGGGATGTCAATTGTTAATTATATTATAATTTGGAGTTTATAACTTTGAAAAGATTTTAATGTATTTTCTGAATATGTAAAATTTAATTATTAAAAAATGAATTAATTATCAATAGAGAGGATTGACTTTTATTATTGGGTGACTGAAAATGTTGATTTTGAAAAACAGTTTGGAACGGAGGGAGTATATAATATTCACTCAAGTACGACAAACACCATTAATATTTAGTAGATTATATGGTACTCTTCTTAAGATATCATACATTATATTTGTTCACATGGACGATCAATCAAAAATGATATAATGGTTTGGATTAATGGATACTAGAGTTGTAACCTCAATGTTTTTGGTTGATCATTGGGTTTGGGTAGTACGTAATTAAGTTTGGCTCCATTTGCGCCAAGAGACATGATATACGGAGTATAATACTACTCCTTCCATCCCAAATTATTTTGCAAACTTAACATTTTTTGGTCAATCAATAATAAAAGTCAATCCTCTCTATTGATAATTAATCCAATTTTTAATAATTAAAATTTACATATTTAGAAATTATATTGAAATCTCTTCAAAGTTGCAAGTCCAAAGTAGAATATAATTAAAGAAAAATCGGCATCCGAATTAAGCGAATAAAATGAAATTTTTTTATTATGAAAAGTCAAATTTGCAAATCAATTTGGGACAGAGGTAATAGGATAGTAGTATATATCCCACTTTTTTCGATGGCATGCAAAGGGAACGGAGTATGCATGATACGAGTGCAAGCCACGTATAGTACATTAGTCATGCATTAGGAGTTGTTACCTTTTACGGAGTAAGAAAAAGAAATGCTTCAAAATATGAGTAAAACACAGATACAGTTTGAAAATAAAAACAAATATTGTTTTCTTAAAGTGCGATTTATTTAATTTTTAAGTATATCAGATAGGAATAATTTATTTAGTTCTATCAAAAAGAATAAAAATTTCATTGAATAGAGGTGTATATGTCATGTTATGAGAAGAAAATCAAGAAATGAATGGTACACATGGTTGAAAAAATTTAGTACTATGTAGTATGTATAGTATCTTTTACTCCTACATTTAGTGTACTCGCTCATGGGCATATGTCTGAGTCTATCCATATTACTGACTACTACGTAGTATTTGATATTTAATATTTGGTAGATTCTATGGTACCCATAAGGTACCATAGCTTTGTCTACATGGACCAATGAGAATGTTGCAGTTGAATTATTTAAATCTAAATTAAAAATAATATAATGATGTGGACCAATCAAGTGAATTGAAGGTACGGTATCCCATTTTTTAAATGGGTGTCGGAGTTGTCACCAAATATTTATGTCCGAATTAGGATTTGGTAACATTTTTTCTATCAAAAATCATTAGTATCATTTCCTGTTGGTTTCATAAGCTCGCTTAAATACATGTTACGTTATAAGCATTCGGAATACAATATTTTTCTAAACATCCTTGATTATTAAAATTGGCATGTCTTAATAATGAATGAATTTGTTTGCTTTAAGTACTTTTCTACAGGAAAGTAGATTTTTCCACGGAAATATAATTTGAGATTTTTACAAGAATATTACGGAGTACTAAAATAAAACTTATTTACATAAATATGATTATTCATTACTACAACGTAGTATTGTGGTAACTTAAATTCAAAATTGAACATGAATTACTATGATTTCATTACTACTCTAGTAACTAATCATATTTTTGTAAATCATATTTATTTTGGTCATATTTATGTAAATATCTATAATTTTGACGTTGGTGACGACGCCTTTTTAGATATATTTTTGCCGCGAAGTGTAATTTTCCTGCCACTATAAAAATCTTTAAAGTTGATAGATACGAAGTATATTACTTACAAGAACGGTGATCGTGTATGTCAACTACACAGGTCAATGCGTATTTGAGTGGCCCTTAATGGGCTAAATATTGTATTAGCCTGTTGAATTGGACTTTAGTAAATAAAATTTACATATTTAGAAACTACATTAAAATCGCTATAAAGTCTGATAAAATAAATGTAAATTTGATAAAAATTTGATATATAAAGTAAAAGATTAAAAATGATTTAAGTTGACCATGTGAATAGTGGACGAAAACCTTCTAATGGAACGGAGGTAGTATGTTTTTTATTGAAATGGTCGGTTTGTATTGGTTTTTGATAAACTCATAAACCGAGCCAAAAAATGGTTCCCAATAAATCGGTACCCCTCCTATGAACGGCTAGGTTTCAGGTGAGTTATTTTGGATAACCAGTATTTTGGTTCGGTCCCAAAAAAATATTAGTTACAAGACCAAATCTATAAGTATGTAAGCTTAAGGACTAATAACAGATACAATCAAAAGTTGTGGGACTAAAGTTGTAAACCGGCCTTCTCATTAAGGGTTTGTTTGCAACAGCTTCTGCTTTTAAAAAAGTGCTTTTTTTAATGAAATGTGGAGAAGTGATTAAATAAAAGTTGACAGTGTTTGAGAAAAAAGTGATTTTGAAAAGTAAAAGTGGGTAGTGTTTGGTAAAATAAGTACTTTTTGTGTAATAGAAAAAGTAAAAGCACTTTTGACGCGTAAGCCGAGAAAAATATAAGTTGTAGTGTTTGGGAAAATAAGTGCTTTTTTAAAGCCAAAAGCTGAGAAGTGCTTTTTTAAAAGTAGTTGCAAACTAACCCTAAGTATGTGCAGTGGTTGATACACACATGCATACATATAATTTGGATGAGGTCATGAGAGGCCTCATTTGATGGGGACAAGAACCCAATCTCGTTGTGAGATTCTAGGGAGGGTCATTTGGATACATTTAGGGTTGGTGTAGCGTGAATTTACTGTACTACCTCCGTCCCTTAAAACTTTGTCAAAGTTGACTGGCACGAGAATTAATAAAATAAAAAATGTGTGATTGAAATTTGTGCAGAGGAGAAACAATTAACTAGAATCACAAATTCTTTACTTAAATGAGAAAGTGACAAAGTTAGTGGGACATCCAAAAAGGGAAAGTTGACAAAGTTTTAAGGGACGGAGGGAGTATTTCTTATTTTTCACTTTTGGATACATTTGATTTCTTTTTATTTTTCTTACATGTATTGCCAAAAAATTAGTCAAACAAGCTAGTCATTGGGACGGACCAGGACCGGTCAATTTTGGTCCCAACATTCCTATATCCAGGATCGAGTACCCTACTTGGGTTGTACTAGGTTCGGTTTCGAACCAATGCCGTACTTTTGATCTTCCGGTCGGTCACAAGATTGGGTGAAAATTTTTCATGAACATGTTTTCATATTTGAAAATGGAAAACCGGAAAATAAAAACAGGAAATTAGAGATAGAAAAACGTATTGAAAAAAATAGAAAATTGAATTGGTGAACAGAAAACAGAAAATAAAATTGAAAAATATGTTTGTTTGTAAACAGATCCTTGGTCTCTTTTTTGTTTAAATTTAAAACACAATCCTATTATCCATTGAGAAGTCAGTATTATTATTATTTTCATTATACCAACTCATCGGTGTACTTAGATCTGACCAAATTTTTCTGTGTGATAGTATGAAATTAGAGTATTTTTTAAATATTTCTAAAATAAAAATATTTTTTTATCGAAAAATCTAAATATTTATAAAGTATAAAAATTGAATATAAATACACTATTAGGAATGTGATGCATGCATGTCATGGTCATCTAAATATAAAAATTGAATATAAGTACAATTTCTAATATTATTATTAGTCATTACATTTAAAAATGTCACTTTTTTGTAAATAATGTCTATTTTAGTTACAACTATGTAGCTTTTATTTCATTACGTGTGTGTGTGTGTGTATATATATATATATATATATATATATATATATATATATATATATATATATATATATATATATTATATATATATATATATTTAATACAATATATTTCCCTGACTGAATGTACTACAGCTATGATGTGTCCATGAAGATTAATACACTGGGCGCTAAACACGTGTTAAACTTCGCCCAAAAGTGCAAAAATTTAAGAGTTCTTCTTCACGTATCAACAGGTTTATCTTTTATTTTTATGGTATATCAACAGGTTTATATCCAGGCACGAATGATTGAAAAAGAATATCATAGGTTTTGGTATCTTTAAATATTCAACCATGCTTGTTGTACCCACTCTTATACCCACCTTATACCCACCATATTTGTGAAGGTTTTTTTTGTTTGTGAACCCGATTCACAGACAATATTTTGTTTGTGCAAAATATTGTCTGTGAGCCCCGATTCACAGACAAAAAAACCTTCACAAACATAGGTGGGTACAAATGTGGGTATAAGAGTTGTGAGAATATCACCCGAAATACAGATTCTATACTAAAGGGCTATTTCTATATATACAAAGAATGAATTAATTTGCTTTCCTAACACCCCCCGCAAGCTAAGCGTGGGATGACATGCAACGCGAAGCTTGGCGCGAATAAACTCAAATTGCTTCCGTGGAAGTCCTTTAGTGAAGATATCAGCCAATTGCAAAGTAGACGGAACAAATTGAACTTTAAGTTTGCCAGAGGAAACTAATTCACGAATAAAATGACAATCAATGTCAATATGCTTAGCGCGTTTGTGAGCAACAGGATTTTGGGATAGGAAAATGGCACTTTTATTGTCGCAAAGGAGCAAAGGAGGCTCTGGCAAGGAGACTGAAAGGTCACGAAGTAGATAAGTGAGCCAAATAATTTCAGAGGCAGTATTAGCTAAAGCACGATACTCGGATTCACAGCTGGACCGAGCAACAGTGGGTTGCTTCTTGGCGCTCCATGAGAGTAAATTACCACCATAGAAAACTGCATAACCATAAGTGGATCTACGCGCCTCCAAACAACGTGCCCAATCAGCATCAGAGTAGCCTAAGACAGCAGGAGGCAAAGCGGAACGAGTAAAATCAAGGCCATACGAGATCGTACCCCTAACATAACGCAATATGCGTTTAACAGCTTGAAAGTGTTCAATAGTAGGTGAATGCATATACTGACTCACAGAGTTAACAGCAAAAGATAAGTCCGGGCGAGTAATGGTGAGATATTGAAGAGCACCAACGATTGACCGATATAGGGTAGGATCAGAAAATAGAGAGCCATTAGCACTATGAAGCTGGGAACCCGAGGTCCAAGGCGTAGCAACAGGTTTAGCATCCAACATTTTGGCACGATCCAAAATATCTCTGGCATATTTAGATTGCGCAAGAAAAATACCAGCAGGAGTATGTGTAACTTCCAGGCCCAAGAAATAACTAAGACGACCCAAATCTTTGATTGAGAACTCATGATTCGTTCGGGAGATAAATTGTCGAATAAGTGACGGATTGTTTCCAGTGAGTATAATATCATCGACGTAAACAAGAAGATAGAGTCGAGTATGTCCACGAGAGAAAATGAATAAAGATGTGTCAGCTTGACTGTTGTGAAAACCCAGATGCAGAAGATAGGTGCTAAAGCGCTGAAACCAAGCTCGTGGTGCCTGTTTGAGGCCGTACAAGGCCTTACGGAGCTGACAAACATGAGAAGGAAAGCGTGGGTCAATATACCCCGGGGGTTGCTCCATATAAATAGGTTGATCTAAAACACCATTTAGAAAGGCATTTTTAACATCTAGTTGATGAAGAGGCCAATGATGTAAAACGGCAATAGTCAAAACAACCCGAACTGTAGCAGATTTAACAACCGGGCTAAAAGTATGAGTGAAGTCAAAACCCGGAAGCTGGGTGAATCCTTGAGCCACGAGCCGAGCTTTAAGTCCCTCAACAGATCCATCGGCTAGAAACTTGGTACGATAGACCCACTTAGAACCCACGATGTTTGTGCCAGGCGGACGAGGAACAAGATCCCAGGTGTGGTTTGAACGAAGGGCAGCCATTTCCTCATCCATGGCAGCAACCCATCCAGGGTATTTGGAAGCTGATTTATAACCCTTAGGTTCAGTGTTAGTCGTGAGTCCAGCAAGAAGACCAATTACTTCATAATCAGGAAAAAGTCGAGGTTTTTGAATACCTGATTGCGAGCGAGTTTGAATGGTGCGAATATTTGGTGGTGGCGGTGGGTTCGTGCTTGTAGCAGCAAACGGTCCAGTGGATACAGAGCTGGAGGTCTGACCAGAAGAAGGCAGCACACTGGATGGTGCAGCAGACGACATCTCAGGTATATCGGGCATGTTGGGAATGGCTGCAGGAGATGAAGGGGCTGGAGAGTCGGCGGGGCATATCGGGCATGAGGCAGCTGGGGGTGGAGTGGGAGATGACCCACTTTCCAGGCTAATGGGGACGGGAGTATGAGCAATACCAGGATGAAGAAGTTCTGAAATAGGAAGAGAGTGTGAAGATGACCGCACATTAGTAGAGAAGGGAAATTGTTCTTCATCAAATTTGGCATGGCGAGAAATGTAGAGACGTCCAGTGGTAGGGTCAAAACATTTATAACCTTTGTATTGAGTGTGATAACCGAGGAACACACATGCAACCGAGCGAGGAGAAAACTTATGTGGGGTAGCAGCTCTCAAACACGAATATACACAGCAACCAAAGGGATGGAAAACTGAATAATCTGGCGGAGAACCAAATAGAACCTCAAACGGAGAAACCCCATCCAACACTGGTGTGGGTAGCCTGTTTATAGTAAAAACAGCAGCTGAGAAAGCATCAACCCAGCATTAAACGGGACAGAGGAATGAAAAAGCATGGCCAAACCAGTTTCGGTAATATGGCGGTGCTTCCGTTCAGCCCTGCCATTTTGAGCAGGGGTGGACGAACATGACTTTTGATGATGAATGCCACAAGATGCCATGTAAACTTTCATACGGTTGTTAGTAAATTCAGTCCCACCATCAGATTGAAAAAATTTAAGCTTGCAATGGAGCTGAGTTTCAACGAACTTGTGAAATTGAACAAAAATGTCATAAAAATCAGACTTGTGGCGTAATGGATAAAACCAAGTAAATCGGGAGCAATCATCCACAAAGATGGCATAATACAGATAGCCTTGCTTAGATGAAATAGGGGCAGGTCCCCATAAATCACAATGCACCAAATGTAAAAAGGAAGTAGAACGCTTTTTATTAATATCAAAGGGTAAGCGTTTGCTTTTCGCTAGTTGACATGAATGACAAATAGAAGGCTTAGGCAGAATAGAAGTAACTGAAATATAACGTAGTTTATTAAAACTATGAATAGTATCAAACGACACATGACCGAGCCTGGAATGCCACAGTTCAAAGGAACCCTTGAGCTTGTGTGAGCGGACTTCACCGAGGAAAACATCATGATCTCGGTCAAGAACATAAAGGCCATGTTCACGCCTTCCCCTTCCCACGATCGCCCCTGTTGTCTTGTGCTGAATGGTAAACAGATTATCATCAAATGTCACAGTAACAAGCATGTCTCTGGTAAGTGTACTAATAGAGAGGAGATTTTTGGAAATGTTAGGAACAACAAGAACATTTGACAGTTTGAGATCAGAAGAAATAGCAGAATCACCAATATGAGAGATAGTCAACTTAGCACCATTACCAACAGAAACACAAGAGTTACCAGAATATGGGGAAACCGAATCAAGTTGAGATGCAGTGGGAGTCATGTGGGAGGAGGCTCTGGAATCCATGTACCAGTCAGGAGAATCGGAAGACTGCAGTGAAACTGAATGAAAAGCTTGAGCTAAATTAGCATGAGAGCCACTGGAAGCGGATTTGGTATAACGGTCTGGACAGTCCCCATCAAAGTGACCCTCTGTCCGACAGATCTGACAACGCTGAACAAACGGGCGTCGGGGAGGCTTATGAAGACGCGCACCAGAAGATCGGTTGTTATTGGAAGCATATCCTGAGCGGCCACGATACTGTCCTGAGGATTTGTTGCGACCATAGGAGGAAGAGCCGGAGGACCCTGTGGAAGATGCAGCAAAAGCAACAACCGAGTTGGTGGATTCTTCAAGAGACTTCTGAAACAGGGCATAGCTTTTGGCCTCAGAAACGACATCGCTCAGCAGAGGGGTGGGATGCTGGCGAATCTGAGTGAGAGAGAAACTGGAGAAAGTGGGTCCTAATCCGCGAAGATACCAGTGTAGTTTATCAGTAGCGGAGATATCACAATTGATAGTAGCCAATTGATGACACAAGTTAATGAAAGTGTTGCTGAAATCCTCAACCGAGGAAGAGCCGCGACGAAGACTCTGAAGCTCATCTTTCAATTGGATTTCACGTGACTTAGATTGAAGGGAATAAGCTGTCTGTAACGCAGACCAAACTGCAGCAGCAGATTGACAACCGAGAGTATGTGCCATAGCTTCTTCTGTAAGAGAGGAGAGAAGCAAACTGTGAAGACGTTGGTCCTGCACGATCCAATTATTCTGGCACTTGACAGCATCGGCGTTGGAAGGTGAAGGAACAGAAGGTTTGGCGTTGGTTCCATCAAGAAAACCGAATAACCCTTGACTTTTGAGAAGCATCTCTACTTGCGTTTTCCACAGGAGGTAGTTAGTAGAGGATAATTTAAGAGTCAACATATGAATAAGAGTGGTGTAGGGAAGGGAGGTGTCAGCATCGGCCATGGCGGAGGAATTTGGGAGAATTGCAATACGGTTAGGGGGAAACCTACTCTGATACCATGTGAGAATATCACCCGATAATGGGTGTGAACCATTTTATTGATATTTATAGTATCACTTTACAATTACAATAAAGGTAAGAAATAAGAAAATGAATATTACCATAAATACAGATTCTATACTAAAGGGCTATTTCTATATATACAAAGAATGAATTAATTTGCTTTCCTAACAAGAGTGGGTACAAAGATCATTTTTGTTAAATATTTATCCCAACAATTTACTAATTTAGTCAAATTCAATTTTTAAATTTAAAATATTTGGCAAATCATACCTCGTAGTAATATAATTTAAGTTTTAGATTGGTAGTTTCAATAATTCATATCTTATAATGATAATCTTTATCTTTTTTTTTGAAAGGATAATCTTTATCTTTTACGTAGTACGAAGTTTATCTTTAATTCATAATCACTAGCATGTCTAGCAGAGTTACGGGTCGACCTAGGCCCTGAGCCTCTGACTCGCCCCAAATATATATATAAAAAAAATTAAATTTTAGTATAAATATTTTCGTGTAAACTTTTTTCCAATAGTTAGTACTCCTACATCTCGGATCCTTCTGAAATTGTTACTACGCTGATTCGAAGTTCCGAAAAACATCAATTAATTAATTATACGAGGTGAAAATGAAAAGGGGCAATTACCAAAATAGGAGTAAAACATAGGACTTGTGCAAAAATAGGAGTAGAGTTTTAAAATTTCCAAAATAGGAGTATTTTTTTGTAAATGGATAAGGATACCCTGCCTGTTGCTGCCTGCTGCTACAGTTCCGCCGCCAACCAGACTTCGCCGGACTGCCGCCGCCGCCGGCTGCCGGAGCTCCGGCGACCACCGCCGGAAAATTTACCAGATTTTTCCCTTGGAAGTTTCCCAGCATTTCTGCCGCCGAACGTTGCCGGCCACCGCCGCCGCCGGAGTTCGCCGCCGCCGCCGGAATCTTCTGCCGCCACTGCCGGACTGCCCCGCTACCAACGGACTGCCTTGGTTGCCCAAGGGAACTAGGGGGGCAATGATTAATTAGAATAAAGGTTTCCGCCGGTCGCCGGAGCTCCACCGCCGGCCGCCGCCTGCCACCACCACCACCGGACTGCTGCCGCTACCAACACCCTGCCCCGCCACCGACGGACTGCCCTTGTTGCCCAAGGGAACTAGGGAGGCAAAAATTAATGTTTACTCCTATTTGGAGAATTTTAGAAGTTAACTCCTATTTAGGGAAATGTGGTATGTTTTACTCCTATTGAGAGCAATTTCTCAAATAAAAAGTCAATGGTTTGGAACAGCTTATGTAAGCGGTGAAAGGGAAGGGCTGATACTGGAAAACCCACACAAAATGGGGGAAACTTTGAACGGATCATGTGGACTTGACATTAAGAGAGAGGAGATGATAATATTTGAAACTTTGGAAATGCTCCGAGCTCAAAATGCTTCTGAGAAATCCATTACTTTGGCCATGAAAGACCTTGGCATCAAAAGGTATATCGCATTTATAAATGTATCGGGGTTATTTATTTTAATATTAAACTACTGAATGTGAATGAGTAAATTGCAATTTTCGTTATAACATTGGAAATTCGCAATTTAGGCGATAGTATTTGATGGGTATAAGTACATTTTTAGCTTTTATACTATTTGTTTTTTATAAATATTACTAAATTAAATTTAAAAAGATATTAAACTTATTTCTAAAAAAAATAAAAGTGACATATTCATTCACTAGTTCTCAATGAAACACACTATTATGACTTTTGTCCAATTACTAATACACTGTGACTAGTCATATTTTTGTCCAAAAATATAATTAGCCATATTTTTGTACGGGTTAACTGTGAGAGTAATATACATGCCATTTTTTATTTAAAAAATCTCCAAAGATCATAAGTGTATGTTTGGCACATTAATTTTAAGAGTTTTTCTAAAAATTAAAGATCGTTTTTGACAAACTATGTTCAGTAGCTTTTAACAATAATTGGTCACGACGATAAAAAAAAACAATAATTGGTCACAAAGACTTGTTATACCAAACAGAACTAAATCAAATATTCAACTTTTTACAAGACAACTTCAATCTTTTTCTTTTAAAATCTTTTCAGTCATTAAAAAATTAAAACTACTAAAATGTTTATAAAAATATTTTATCTCCTAGTCGTGTCAAACATACTGATAGAGTTTATAAGAATATTTTTTCAACTAATAGTGTCAAACATACTGAGAGTGAGTTTAGTTAGCATGACCAAAGTTCGGGATGATACATGCATCGGGATGATCATGAGAGAGTAGTTTGAAGTTAAAACCTTTTTAAGTTGCTCCTCTGTTTTCCTTCTTTTTTCCGCCGCCCCCGTCTTTCATGCTTATCGTTGGTTTTGTTTTTTTCTTTTTTCTTTGATTTTGTTCGTACGTTTCTTTTTTCTTCTTATTTGTTTTTTATTTAACAACCTTTTTGCACTTTCAAAAAACAACAACGTTTTTTCTATGAAAATGTATAATAAAAAATATTATTTAATGTTGGAGTTTGTTTTTTCTTTTTTTCAATCAACCTTTTAATTTGAGTTTATTTAATTTGTGCATTATAAAATATTTTAGGTATTAACTTTTTTATATTTTTAATTTTACGATGAGTATTTATTAGTTTATTAAATATTGTTTGCTAATTACTAACATGAGTTTTGTATTATACTGAAATGAGTATAGTGTAAAATAAACATGCATGTTTAAACAATTTAAAAGCAACACGATTATATATGTAATTCAAGAACAAAAGACTATAAATTATTTTTAATATAAAATTTTTATATTTCTTATTGGTATATATAGTGATAGTTCATTTATTAAATTGTTAGTAATGGATCTACTAGATGTACATATTATATATACAGATGAGTTTATGTTATATTGGAATGAGTATAACGATTAAAAGAAATGAGCATAATATACACAAATGAATATTTGAACACATTGGAGAATTCAATTAAGTTTTTGGACATTTCGATGCTCATTTGATAAGTTATGTCAGCTCATATGATATTGATTTATGCTCATTTTAAAATTTCATATTAATGCATATTTCAAAACTATTATATTATATTAGATTCACAAGAGAGTTGATTATAGACACGATAGTAGAGATCATGATACTCAATTCCATCTTTCTATATTTTAAGTAAAAAGGGTCAAATACACCCTCTTAAAAAAATCATCCAACTCCATATACTAAAACAATCATCAAATAAGTGCATATACTCATAAAAAAAACATCAAATAAGTGCATGTACTCTTAAAAAAACATCAAATAGAGCAAATGATCGGAGAGCTACCGGCCATAACAAGTTGTTGACATTACAGTAACCTTTTTGTTCCTACAAGTGCCACCTGCTTGTTTTTTCTTTTATTTTCTTTCTTCTTTTTTTCTTGTTTCTCGATCAATCGTGGCCTTCTTGGCTAAAGTGTTGCACCCATAATCCCATATATTGTCTTTTTTTTCTCTTCAAACGATTTAGTTTTTTCTTACTCTTTTTTCTTACTACCTTTTTAGCTATTTTCTTCTGACTCTTCTCCTAAGAAATATTTTCATACATTTCTTTCTAATTATTTCAATAAATTATCCATCATTTTTTATTCATAAATAATGTTCAATCTTGGAAAAAATAAAATTGTCCTTATCATTAAAACTGAATTGTCATTAATACGTATTTGTAACTTTGACATACTTAGAGCTCGTCTGGTAACTCTGAAATTGGTTGAATTGTTTGATTCTGCTGAAATTTAAGAAGTTCTGGCAGAAGTGACTGTATTGACTCATTCAGCTGATTTATGAAAAAGTTATATTTAAAATATGTGTTATTAATAAATAAAATAAAAAATTGTTTGAAAAAATAGTTAAAATGATCCTCTACAGTAACTTCGACCAATACAGCCAGAAAAGTAACTACGACCTTACTTTATCTTATTAATACACAATTCAACGCGCGAAATTAAAAGTTACGTGTTTGGTGAAAAAACTGGCTGATAAGCCTTATAAGTCGAAAAAGGGCCAGGTTCTTAAAATAGTAACTTTTGATATGGTTAAAAATTACTCCCTCCATCCCATTTTGATTGTCCCACCAAAATCTTTCGCACCTATATTTTTTGTCTCTATGATTAGACCATATTAAAAAACGCCAGTCGTAAAATTCAAATTTTATACACAATAATAGTGTGTCACACACAAAATGTTACTCCCTCCATCCCATTTTGATTGTCCCACTTTCCTTTTTGGGTTGTCCCAAAATGAATGTCTTGTTTCCCTTTTTGGCAAAAAATATGTGGTTTTTATCATTTCACTTTATTTTACTCAAATCTCAACCACAACTTTTACTTTTCAACCACTTTATTAATAATCGTGTCAAATTGAAAGTGGGCAACCAATTTGGGACGGAGGTAGTCCATACTAGGTAAAAATTATATACGATAGTACGTTTTATTCATTATCTCACCAAAAACCATATCGTAAAAATGTTCCACACACGGTAAAGATTCACACACTTTTTATGCCACTAATTTATTGTTTATAAATATAGTTTTTTCGGATTGGTATTTTTTGTGTGCCCAAACTTAACAAACAAAAGTTGTTGGTACACAGGAGTATGAAATGTATACAAAAAATATAAATCCTTTTACGCCGTCTGAAACATTTCTGTAAGTGCGAGACACTTTATTTTTGTAAAATTGAATTTCTTCGATCAATATTTTTTGTCTATGGCTAAACTTTACACAAATATTTGTTTGTACGTAGAATTTTAAAAAAGTGTACAAAAGTTACACATTTTATCAGTAGATTAACTTATGATACTTTTATTTGACCGTGTCTGATAATTATTGTCTATAAAATTGCAATTTTCCCGATAAACAATTTTATCACCTAACTTTAAATAAAAAAGTTGTTTTTGTAAAAAATGTTGAAAAAGTGTACCAAAAGTATACAGTTGGATTGGAGGGACGCATGTTGTAGCGGAAAGAGAATCAAAACATGTTTTAAGTTGGACAAAACATTTCTGTTGTTGTATGTTAAGTCTTGTCTTATCTGATTAGTAAAAATATGATTTATATGTATTTAATTATTAATAATAAAGTCTGATTTTGTGTAATTTATTGAAGTTTGACATTTCTGATATGGGACTGAAAAATGGTTCAATTAAATTTTCAACCATTCTTGGTGTACACGTTTTTATACCCATCAGTACACGCATGTGTCTGTGAGAGTTTTTTTTTTGTCTGTGAAACGCGGTCTACAGACATAAGTTGACTTGTTTTGTCTGTGGAAAATTTCACAGACAAAACAAACCAGCGTTTGTCTGTGGACCGCGCTTCACAGACAAAAAAAAACTCTCACAGACACATGGGTGTACTGATGAGTACAAAAACGTGTACAAAAGGAATTTTTGTTAAATTTTTCCAAGAAAGAAGGAAGAAGAAAAAAGAAACTCAAAGGAAAATAAAAGTAGGCAACGATAAATACAAACGATTAAAAGAAAAGACAAAATGAAAGAGAAAATAAAGATAAAGAAAATACGGAGTACAAAATGAAAGAGACGGTGAGGATAAGGAAAATGAAATTAAAGTGACGGGCTGACGGCTGGGAAGTAAGTTAAATGCACTGTAGCAGAGGAGTAAAAAATGAGAAAGAAAATAGAATGTGAGTGACCTGCTATTATAGGTTGTTGTTAAGTCACTTGACCTGATTGATGGAATTTTGAAAGTAGATGTATTTGAGTGATCTTTTTTAAGTAGAAGGGTTTAAGTGATGTTTTCATAGAGGAGTTTTGATGCTCAATGAAAATGTTTGAAGCTCAACTAACAAAATTTATTATTTTTATATCAATGCTCATTTTGTAAGTTATTTATGCTCATTTGGATATGATGTTATGCTCATTCTAAAATGTCATACCAATGTTTATTTTTAAAGTATCATATTACATATTGAAATTCTTAGGAGTTGATTATAAATATATTTTAAGAATTTTTATTAAACGAAAAAATAAGAAAATGAAAGTAGTATAAATTAGAATATATAAAAGAAAGATCAAGATGCTCATTAATAGTCTCCCAATACTTCATAATATGTTTGATGCTCATTAAAATCGCGTTGATGTTCATTTAAGAGAAACCATGATTTTCACGAAAATTACAAAATTGTCACCAGCTGTACTGTGCAAGCCATACAACTAGCTGTACAGTATACACACTCTACATGCATCCAGCCAAGTCATCAATCCCTACATATTTCGAAAATAAATTTATATTTTATTTTTGGAAGGCCGGTTTGAGAAGTCCGAATTTCAAAAACTGATCGAACTATCGAAGTGATGAATGAAGTATTTTTAATTCATGATTGACAATTTAAGGAAAAATAAATTTCAATAATACCAACTATCTTCCATGAACCAAGAATAATACGTATAGTACTTTGGAAATAATTTTTAATATATAATACCAACTATTTGAATATATATCAAAAGTCATATAAAGCAAATTTTCACTAAAATTTCAGTCATTTAACTCATAAAAAACTAATACCAAAATATCAAATAAGTGATCGTATTTACAAATATCATTTATTTGATGGTTTAATATTACTTTTTGATGTCCTAACTGAACGAATTTGTTATGAAAAGTGACTCCATATTATTTGTGTTCCACATTCAAATAATTGGCCGGTATTATTAAAAGTTACTTCTAAAGTATGTATTATTCTTGATTCATGGAAGATAGTTAGTATTATTTCAAGTTATTTTGTCATAATTTAATTCAAGTTCGGTGACAGAAACATGTGCAATTTTGGCAAGAAATACAAATTTTCAATGAAAAATAAACTTTAATTAATATGAGGACCTTAATAGCTGAAAAAATATTGGAAATGAGCTTTCACTTGTCCTAGAATTGTTGTATATGAATGAATGATTAAAATATTATGTCTAAGGATGTTTTCTTTTGGATTGTTTTCAGTCCCAGACCAGACCAGAACATACCAGATCGGACTTCCGTAGCTATAAAATACACAGAGAACAGACGTTTACCAGACCAGATTAGACCAGACCACACCAGCAAATTTCAGTTCAAAAAAAACATCCTAACACTAAATTGTTCTACTATTTAAGTTTCACTAAATATTATTCTCAAAGGGCAAAGGCGTATGGGTGGCCAAACACCTACGTATTCACAAAGGCTATGGGTGAGATGCTTTTAGGAAAATCAAGAGACAATGTGCCTCTAGTAATTATACGTCCAACTATTGTAACTAGCACCTACAAGGAACCTTTCCCTGGCTGGATTGAAGGTTTGAGGTATACAATCCTCAGTTCATTACTATTTATTACGGAGTAATATATCATCACACTTTCTTACTATTATTATTGTTGTTTGCTTGGCTCTTTTGTTTACATTATTTTCTAATAATATATGTACATACAGAACTGTTGACAGCTTAGCAGTTGCTTATGGAAAAGGAAATATAACATGCTTCCCTGGTGACCCTGAGATAATTATGGATGTGGTGAGCTACTTCAATAAATCTATTTCTTGAAAAAACATTTTCATTCGGGTAGTGTATGACCTAGGGGCAGGTACTACACTTCAAATCCCTAGGAAATAGTAAAAGGCCAAAGACATTTTTACTTCATTGGTTAGTAATAGTACGTTGTTTATTAAAACATGTTTACCTAGGGCATCGATGAATTCGATAGGAAATTGAGTCATAGGTTGAAGAAAAAACTTTCTTTCGCAATGATCGTCTAAACAAATATGGTTTCGGCCTTGAATTTTTTCACAAAAATTGTCCTAAATAGGAGTAATAACGTTTTTAAATTCCAAAATAGGAGTATCATGTTTTTTATTCCCTGAATAGGAGTAATCTGCCAAGTTTGGAAAAAAATGTCATGTTTTATTTTCAAAATAGGACTAATTACTGTCATGTTTTGACAGTACCAAATTTGAAACATGGCAGTATTTTCCAAACATGGCAGTAATTACTCCTATTTTGGAAATAAAAACATAGCAGTCCTATTTTGAAATTTTTAAACTGTTTTGGTCCTATTTCGGAAAATTTCTCATTTGGATATTGTCTGGATAGCGGGAATCGAACTCAAATCTTCTTATCTTTATAATTTATCAAAAGAGTAATTCCAATGATGCATGTGAGAATATAATGATGGCAATTGAATCAACCATCCCGATTTATTGAGGGAAGGGATACCGTAGATCCTATATCTATCTATCTGACGAAGGAATTTAAATAAGTCTAAATTTCTTTTTTAGTATTAATTAACAATATAATAAGAATGAACAAAATGAATTATTGCAATTTTATCTCTTTATCTATATACTTGTATAAAACTAAGTTTGATGGTAAGAAAGCGAGTCTTGTAGAAAGGTTGAGCCAATTTATGCTTGTCTTATCCGTTCAATTGCAGCCTTATAATGCCAACACATTTTCCCAGCATTATATTAAAGCACCGCTACTATTGTTTTGTTGTACTTATGTATTTTATTATGTCTATATTCATGAATTGTTTTCAAAAATATCACTGACATATAACTTTTTTAAAAAACAATAACTAAAGTCACTACTATGGTCACTACAATAAAGGTTATATTTTCACAAATAAGATTTTTAATCATAAATATGTAAATAGTTCAATATTTATTTCCCTTCAGCTATTACAAATTATTTCTGGTGTTAGACTTGTACTTTCGAACTCTGTATAATTTTGGGCCATAAGGGACCAAATGTCCATTTTTTTCACCCAAAACTAAAATAAAATTTTAGTTTGGAATCGAGAACTCATTTATTTATTTTTTTAATATGTGGCAACCCTTGCCAACTCCCCTCCCTCTCCCTCAATAGGTGCATAACTGATTTTGAGCAAACATTATGAGCCCGTTCGGTAATATTGAAATCAATTGAATCAGCTGATTCTGCTGAAATTTGTGAAATGACTATATCGGCTTATTCTGCTGATTTATGAAAAAAACAAATATAAAATATATTTTATTAATAAAATAAAGAAAAAATTATATGTAAAAATAACTAAAATGATCCTCTTATTATTAAAAATAACCAGACAGAAAAGTAACTTCAACCTTAATTTTTTTATTATTACACATTTCAGCACGCGGAATCAAAAGTTACATGTTTGGTGAAAAAGTTTGTTGATAAGACTGATAAGCCGAAAAACAGTGTTATCAAACATGATGATGTTTGAATAAGAAAATAATAAATTGCACAATCACAGATCCCGAGTGATATGGTGGTAAATGCCATGATAGTAGCCATGGTAGCACATGCAGATCAACAAGGCACCGAGAGTATATACCATGTGGGGTCATCGATGTCGAATCCAGTGGAGTTTAAAGCGTTGCAAAAATTTGTGTACAATTACTTCACACACCACCCATGGATAAACAAGGATGGAAAACCCATTCTTGTTGGAGAGATAACTGTGTTGAGCAGTGTTGAAATCTTTGAAAGATACATGTTCATTCATTATCTCATCCCTTTGAAGGTTAGTAGTCATTGATTTGTTATTTTACTCATATCATGCACAAACCCTAATTGTTGTAAACTTCCGTGGGTCAAATGCATAAATGGTACCTTAAGTATTGATATTGTTGCATTTTGGTACCTTAACTCTTAAATGAATCAAGTCAGTACCATAGCTACACATAGATTCTTCATCTTGAGATTTCATACACTTCCTCTTGAGATTTCATTCAAATTTGTTGCAAAAAAATCCTTCATGGCGATCAAAATTCCATGTATAGAGAGTCACCCTATAGCGATCATATGGACAAATTAAAAATAAGGTGAAGTAGACTTTACGTATAGAATTTTGGCCGCCACGTATGATTTTTGAGCCGCAAATTTGAATAAAATCTCCAATTGAAACATTTATGTATAAGATACCAAAAATAAGGTGAAGTAGACTTTACCAAAATCTCCAATTTGATATAAAATACAAAATTCCAAACTTTCGTATTTCAGAAATTTCTAAGACCACATTGTGTCCGAATAGTTTCCAAAATCACAACTCAAGTCCTCAACCATTACAACTGCGCCTTAAAAAAACCTTCTGAACAATGGTTACCCTATATAGCATTTCTCATATCTTATACTTACATATCCTATCAATAATCAAAAAATTAGTGGTGTCCACCATAAAAATTAGTAGAATTTGTCTTACCAAGATAGAGTATATGTCTCCCTACAAGATAAATTACATATCATATTAATAATATTAAGCATAATTCTTGAAACAAAAATAGAATCACCAAGCAAAAATAATTCATTTTCCATAAAATGTTTTTATAACTTGTGTGTAGGATATACTATCTATATATATGGCTATTGTGGTTCATGTATGTATGAAGAGACCATCATCATCATTACCCAGTGCCGCAAGGGCTCCCACCTATGGTGGGGTAAGGGGGGTCGGATGTACGCAGTCTTATCCCTATACTAAAGCACAGAGAGATTGTTTCTGGATGACCCATAGTGAAAATCACGTCGAAAATTGCATGGACTAACTGCTGCTTCATAACAAAGAAGCGCAGACAGTTTAGTGAGTCATTTTGTTTTATTCCATCATATTCTCAAGTCAAAAAATAGTGAGTATTGGCTCCATTACGAATGATGGAAATATGAAGAGACCAAAGAAATGATTTTTTTGTAAGGTATAAGAAAGTATAGAATTTTTGTAAATTTAGAATTTTGATAAACTAAATATGTTTTATGTGTATCTGAAATGATTTTATGTTCTCAAACTATTAGAGTTTTATTCAAAGAGTCAGGCTTTAGTATGGATTAAACATTGACTATTCTTGTCTTTGTGCATGGTTGCTTGCACTAAACAGGGTTTGGAGATGGTGAACAAGGCATGTTGTCAGTATTTCCAAAGGGTATACGATGAGACGCACAAAAAAATCAGGGTAATGATGAGGATGGTAGAATTGTACCGGCCCTACGCATTCTTCAAGGGAGTGTAAGTGTAATTAATAGATATTAAATACCAATGATTTTTAATTTGCATACCCAAGAAAACTTAGTATGAATATGCTGGATACAGATATGATGATATGAACACAGAAAAATTGCGGAGAGCGACAAAGGAAGAAAACATTGAGACAGACTTGTTCTATTTTGATCCAAAAATAGTCAACTGGGAAGATTATTTCATCAAGACTCACTTTCCTGGAGTGATGAAATACGTCTTCAAGATTCGTAATTAGAAGTGTTATTTCGCTACTTGCCTTATGAACTGCTGCAGAATGCGGGGAAAACTGTACTCCCATATCATTTGTGCACTTTTTTGTACCAATAATAATACCCTAATGTGTTAAAATTCCTCCCTTATTTATGTGGTTTTATGCAAACAGCAAACATACTTAGTACATGAAATGGGTTCTGTTATTTGGTTGTCTAAGGTTTTTAATAAAATTATAATGCCCCTATTCATCAGCTATATTTCTTATTATAATCAATTCTAGTGTTTTGTTAAATTACCCTTTCTAGTTTCTAGCTTCAGCTTTCTCACTCGATTTTTTTAATCAAACATCACTCTTTTACTTCGTGCGCAGAATGGATTGGAAAAAGCAACTCTGGGTCATCTTTGTTGGTTGTATACTTCATACTTGTATTCGTCGAAAAGGAACATCTTATATGTGTTCATATAATTTTTTCATTACAATATTAACAAAAAACATTTATAATAAAACCTTTTCATATATCAACATATTAGTCCATCTCAGCCCTAACTTGAGCAACTTCACCATATCCAGTCAATTTTAGGTTGATCAAACGAAATCAGTTTATCTCATAAGTAGCGGCAGCGCAAAGGATTGCTACTAAAAATCGGTTTTGATTCCCATTTACGGAGTAGTTTTTAGTAGCAGTAGTTATGCCAAAAACACTACTACGGTAATACATATTATAGAAGCATAGAAGCAATATCAAACCTAATGTTTCTTTTCTCAAAAAAAAGTAAAAAAAGAAACGATATCAAACCTAATGTTTCTTTTCTAAAAGAAGAAAAGAAAAAAGGAACAATATCAACCCTAATGTAATTACATTTCTATGGATCGAAGTTCAGACATTAATCAAATTTAAAACAATACACATGACATCAAAGAAATGCTGAATGTTTGTTTATGACGAAAGAAGTTACTTTATACTCCAATATTATGTCACTATATGCGTATGAAATATTGATAATTTGCTCAAATGATGAATTAAATTATTTACATAAAATATCTCGTCGAAATGTATCTAGAAACCCACACAACATGAACTTGTGTGAGCATTTATATGGTTCTTTATGCGAATATCGGATTAAAGTAAGGTAAACTTTGGTGATTCCAATAATTGAGATGTTGCAGAAATATCGACAAAGATCAAGACCGGTCTTTCCTCTTGCCGGCTATTAACACTGGACTATTACTAATGCCGTTGCAAGCATCAGAGTTCTGCTTTGAATCCAGGAATTGATCACACCTACGGATTTCACAGGTTTCCGAAGTTTCTAGATTGTATTGTACCTTTTCATTCGAGTCTTTGCAGTATGGTCTCGTAATGCACAGCCATGCCGAAGTAGACTCGTCCACAGTTTCACTTGCCAGTGGTACATGCCAGGATCCTTTCTCAGATTCCTGAAACATAAAACATGAAACTCAACTTTGGTATTAAGATTTAGGATTCCATTCTTAAAGATCTAAGTTAAAAAGAGTTGCTCAATAACCTGCTATATGTTTACCTCATACTTTGCAATATATTTGTCATGCCTTTTATTTTTCTTGGTCCTACTAAATTTGTTACATACTTCATACTACGGTGCTCATATATTTAGTAGTATGAAGTAATATATTTAGTATATTTATAAAAAGGGGCAGCTCGGTGCTCATTGGCTTCCCACAAGGCGAGGGTTTGGGGTAGAGTCCCACCACAACGATAAATATAGAGCAAGCCTTCCCTTCTCACTTTGAAGAGGGGCAGCTTCTAAGAATTGAACCAGTGACCTGTCGGTCACATTGCAACACCGTAATAGATTCGCCAAGGCTTCCCTTCATATTTAAAATATTTGTATGGTTCAAAAATTTACACTTCACAAATTAAATATCAACTACATAATTCAACTTTCTCATGTCCCAAAGATAGTAAGACGGAGGTAGTAACCTGTATTTTTATATTTGTTTGAGGGTAAATGACTTCACTGATAGAATCCTTTTTCTTGGAGGATATTGTAAGGATGGTGAAAATTTAGAAACAAATAAGTAATGGGGTGAAAGGGAAACAAATTGGGACTTGGCAACTTATTCATCATCATCATTACCCCAGTGCCGCAAAGGCTCCCACTTTCGGTGGGGTAAGGGGTCAGATGTACGTAGTCTTACCCCTATACTAAAGCACAGAGACTCATTGTTAAAATCGCATAAAAAATTGCATGGACTAACTGCTGCTCCATAACAAAGAAGCGCAAGCAGTTTAGTGAGCCATTTCGCTTTATTTCAATATATTCTCAACCTGAAAAATAGCGAGTCTTTGGCTCCATTGCAAATGATGGAAAACTTGGCAACTTATTATTTCTAAAAAAATATTATATCGAGCGACATAGCTCTATAAAGCATAAAAAAACTAAGAATCAATTATACTGGGGTGTAGAGATCGATGCTTCTCCTTCCCCCATGGAATTAATTATCATAAAGAATGTTAGGAGGGCCTGCATAAGCATACTAAGTCTTATCCGGAAAAGATTTTGTGGTTAGCTAATATGAATTGACATGTGACTGACATATGATTGACATATGAAATATGATCATTTTCATCATTTTCATTTACCGCAGTGCCGCAAAGGCTCCCACCTACGGTGGGGTAAGGGGGGTCGGAAATAAAAACATTAGATAGAGAAAGAGGAGGCAAAACATATGAATTATCTATACGTCTTATTTTCATCCTCTTTGCCTTCTCCAAAATCACTCTCATCTAACCCAAGAATGTTAGGACTTACGAGGGGAAAGGGATTTCATTTCAAAAACAAAACGAAATGAAAATCCTAACAGGCAAAAGAAAATATACCTGAATCACAATTGAAAAGGAAGGCGGCAATGAAAGACTTGGGTTGCCTTTCACAAATGTGTACCTTACCTGCAGAAATTAGTATTTGACATTGATACATTCTCATTTGTCATTGGGAGGAATATATTCACCAGCATCATATTAAAATCCAAGCAACCCTTAGTACCCTTCACACAGCATTAAATGGCTTGGGTAGAGGGATACTAAGCTTCCTAGATCCACCGGAACTCAGATTCTTGAACCTTCTTCTGCGAAAAGCCCAAGGTTTTCCCAAACTTTCCTGAATATTGATCTGTCTAAAGCTTCTAAAATTCTCCATAAAAATGACTTATCCTAAGAGTCTTCTAAATTATTAGAAGAGAATGTCAAAGTTTGCACACGATTTTGCGTTCAATTTTGTGTTTGCACCCAATTCTTAAAAACATTAATATTTGCACCACGTTGTTAGGAACATTATTTGATACTGCAACCCCAGAAGATTGTTTCTACACTATAGTTTGGACATCATTTTCTTCCAGATTGGAGAATGCACCCCACTTTTAAACCTTGTCAACAGATTGTCCTGACAGCATGGTGTATATGGCAATGATTTCATAAATGTATGAAAACTCAAATTTGGATGAAAGAATGAGGCACAATGTCCAATTTTACCACATAAGAAATACTACGTATAAAAACCTATAAGGATGAAACATCATTAGGCCCTCAAGTCTTTATTGATTTACTTAAAAAGGTTGCTATTTATAATAAAAGCCTTATAGTTGCTCTATGACAGCAAACTCGATATTTATAAGTACTAATGTGAATTACTGGAAGTAGTCAAGTAGCTATCACCAATTCACCAGTCTAGTTTCATTTTTCCCATCAAAGAAAAATACAAAAAGGGCAGCCCAGGGCACATTGGCATCCCCGCGAGGTGGGGGTCTGGAGATGGGTCCCACCACAAGGGTGTAAAAGGAGCAAGCCTTCCCTTGTCATTTTGACAAGAGGCCACTCCCAAGACTTGAAAAAATATAGTTCAATAAAAAAGAGCCAATAATATTACAAAGCTATAGCACAACTAAGGCAACTCATTTCAATGATATAAAGGACTAACTAGACAGCTTCGACCCATTAGAAATATGGAGCAGAAGAGGAAAATGAAGTTTAAGAAATGTACCAACCTGATGTCTTTCTTTCCATCTGATAAAGAAATTGCTACCAAAAAGCTCAAAAATGTGATCTCTCATTTCATCATTTGTCACAAGAAAACACTGGAGTTTCACAGCAGCAAAAAGCCAGTACCTAGATTGCAGCACATATATCCATAAGCATAACTTTCATGGCAAATAACTGAAAGAAAAGGTACAATTCATTAAAATTACTTCAATAGAAGTATTGGAATTAAAGATTATATATAATTATATACCAGTCATCATTTGATCCATAAGGTGTTGGATAAAGCACTCCTTCATTTATCCATTTCTCAATTACCTCTCTGTGGTTGGCACTCTCAAGGAGTGCCCGGACACGTTTTTTGTGCAAGACAACAAGGGGCCATTTATTACTCCTATTATGCAAATGATTAACAACTGCAATAAGCTGCTCTATTACAAATTATTAATTAAACCAACTTAGTGACCATTATAACGCAAAAGAGAATGACAAATTGAAATTTGCAAAGCAATGACAATTCAAAGATGAATTAATGACCTGGGAAGCACTAAACCCGCCCTCTGCAAAGTTTTGTTGATAGAGCCCAATATTTGCTCCATCCACTACAGCTTCAAATTCAGAATGGCTTTCCAACCAATCCTTTACAAAACATCAAGAGAATATTTAAAACCTTGGCTAGTACATGTGTAAGAGAATACAAAACCAGCAGAGTATTAATTCAACTATCTGAGGCAAAAATTTCATAAAGATCTATTCTGACGTTTTTCAGAAAATACATTTGGAACTTCTTCCCTAACATACACATTATGATGGTCTCTCACCAGAAAGTTTGTGTAAATATTAAATACATTATCATCTTTTTTTCTTTTCTCTTAAACCTCATTCGGTATTACATCTTAAAAATGCACAATAAGATTTTTCAAAATTTTTCTCACCTGAAACCCTGCATAAAGTACAAGAGATCTTTTATTTCTATTTTACAGAAAATCCATTTGGTATTTCAACTTAAAAATAAAGATCAAGATATCTCACCTGAAATTCTGCATATTGTAGTGCATAAATATCATTTTTTTTCTTTTCTTTTTCATAGAATATATTTGGCTTTTCTACCTCAAAATACACAATAAGATGGTTTCCCAATAGAAATCTGCATAAAATAAATAATGATCTTTTTTCTTTTTCATAAAACCTGTTTGATGTTTATTCCTCAAAACACACATCATGATGGTCTTTGACAAGAAAGTCTGCATAAAATAAAAAATACATAATGGTCTTTTGTTTTCCTTTTTCATACTCATTTTGGCGTTGCTGCCTCAAATTGCACATTAAGATTGTTTTCACACCTAATACTCGGCATTAAACAAAAAACATCATTTCTTTTTCCTTTTTAGATAATCTATTTGGTATTTCTTCTTCAAAAATCAAAATACACATTAAGATGGTTCTTTCACCTGAAACTCTTTAAAGTTTGACTGTGATTCCCTTTCCATAGCTAAGGATGAAACAGAATAAGCAAATGTCTCTGTTTCTTCCCTGGCAATGTCAACACATACCAACTGCTCTGAACAAGTGAGGCACTGTCCATCAGAAGCAATACTTGTCCTCTGCACGGCCCACTTACCCTTCCCAAGCCATCCAAGTCCATGCCACCCACCACCATTCCTCACCAGCATTTCTTTCACCTGGTTTGCGTCCCATTTCAGTAAACCTGACATAGAAGCAACTTCCCCTCTAAACCAGCCCTCTATGATCTCTGATGTCATCTCACTCACTCCCCTCACAGCCTTTCTCAACTTGTGCAAATAATTGTAAACATTTGCTTGATTCTCTTTCTCCACACTCACCTTAAAATATCATTAACAAAAAGATGAATAAAAAGTTAACAACCAAACAAAACTGGAGCCTCCTAATCAACAAGAAGAACAAAAGTATGCATTGCCACATCAACCTACTTTCAGCAAGAAATAGCAAAGGCAGAATCTTTTGTTGGAGAACAGCACAAAATAGCTCGATTCTGAACCCAATTTAAATAAATATTTTACGTATATGGAAATATACTCTGGTATCAATACAAAGAGTGAAACAGCTATGCTTACCTTAAACAAGGCGCAAAGCTCAGGCTCCTCAAGTTGAAGGCCGATAGATTCCATCTGCTCCTCCACTTGATAAGCCTTGTCAGCCTCTCCATTCCTACAAAAGCAAAAGAGGGCCGGTCCATATGTCCTGAGCTTTCCTCCATTCCCGACTCCCTTTGCAAGCTCGAACGCAGTGTCACCGTCGTTATTGGCGGCGACCAGCCGAGCAACGGAGGTGGCAGTAGCCTCATTGGGGCTAGCGCCGCCGGAAACCATATTCTCATATACCCGGAGACCGAATTCGATTGCGGATTGCTTTGTTTCCGGGTTGGACACGGCATTGGAGCAGATATATAGGAATGAGTTGAAGTGATGGTTGGACATGCGGATTGAGGATGGTTGGGAGACGGCGGAGTCGTAGAGGGAGATTGCAGCTTTGAGGTCTTTGCTTTTGGAACACTGGTCGAGGGCTAAACGGAACTGCGTCTCTGGCGTCAATGCTTTTCTCTTCTTCTTACATTGCTGGTTGTCGCCGGAGGAGTTCATGGTGGGAATAGCGGCGGTGGGACGAGGTGCTCTTTGACAAATGGGAGGGGGTTTTGGTCCTTTTGGAGGGGAAAGAAAGCGTGCGGAGTGATTTGGGAAAAGGCACGAATAAGGTGACATTGAAATAATCATCATGAAGTAAATTGGCCAAAATATTAGGGCTATAAATGAAAAATACTTCCTCTCTTAAAACTTTGTCAATCTTTTTTTGTTGGGATGTTTCAAAACACTTTGTCACTTTCCTTTTTAATTAATTATTTTGTAGTTTCTCTTATTTCTGTCTCCTCTGCACAAATTTCAACCACACAGTTTTTACTTTATTATTCTCCGCGTCGGTCGATAAAATTTTAAGGAACGGAGGTAGTATATATTTAATGCACAAAAAAATAACTAATTAATTAATTGAGCTGGGAAGACCATAGCCTATACAACAACAACAAGTTTAAAACCCTTTAAATGCATAAGAATACAAATGTATTTTGTGTTAAATATACTTTGAGGTTAAACCCTCGCAGTTCAAAGGTTAAAACTAGCAATGTGGTTGTAGCAGCCGATAGCGGCTTCATGCGGACCTATGTGGTGTTGTTGCGGTCAGTAGCGGAGTGATACGGCGTCGTTGCGGTTTCTTCGTGGTAACGTTGTGAGTTTTTATCGTAATTCGGATACATACCAATCTGGCGGCTCGATGCGGTTGCCCCGCCACCCGCAACCGCACTATTGCGGCCGCATCAACTGTTGTGACCACTATTTGAAACCTTGCTATAGAGATGATGAATTGGCTTGATAAGTGAGAGGCTCAAACGTTGAAATGAATAAATTAGATATAAGCTAAGCTTTTGATAGAACTATAAGAATAAATTTCACTTTTGATTCTCCGAGTTTTAATTCAATTTCACATTTATTCCACATCTTTAACTTTGTCCACTTTTGATACATGACTATTGGGTTTTCGTCCATGTATGGTCTTTCCAACATTGTTTCCGATGATTAAAATAGCCGGAAAAGGACCACAAATGGTTAAAAAACATTAGTCAAGTATCAAAAGTGACAAAATGAAAGATGTGGACTAAAGGTGGAATTTGAACAAAACTCGTAACACCAAAAGTGGAATAAATACGAACTATAATAACTAAGTTTAGTTTATTGAAAAGTTAGTATGTTTTATCATGGAGAATCCGGAGACATGTGACTAAATAACTCAAAAGAAGCCATAATTGCTCGCAGTTTCCAATATGCGCTACAATTACACAACCACGACTTATATCACTAAGGTTTTTTTAAAGGAAAATGACTATATTGATATAATTAGAATTAGGATCGTTACATCAATCTCAAAGTGACCAGAACTGACAACAAACTTCACCTTCCAACTACTACTATTAGCCTTACGATTAGACACAGAGACGACCACCCCTAAAGGAGCAATACGAATCGTTAACCACCAGACGCGCTTAATACAGCTACTGCTGAAAAAATAGATCCGTCCCCCACTAACAATATCAAAACTAGCCGAACCCTCGATCAACGTAAAAAATCTATTACCATAAGCAAGAACAAAAAACAAACTGACAGCAACGAATTTCTTAGTAAAAAGTCTAAAAATGGGGAGAATGAAATTAAGCAGGATGAACTTATTGAGCGGCTGAATCCAATCTTCCAGCGCGATGTTCCGATCCCTAGTCACCCATTTCCGGCTTGGCAGCAATTCAGGAGGGGGGCGGGTCTTCTTCACTTCATCTTCTTCCTTCAACACCTTGATATGCCCATGATTCGCCTCCTTCTCTTGGCCAAGATACCGCACATGCACAGCCAGTCCAAACGCGAACAATCTCCAGATCCCTATCACCTCACCTGTGCTGCAATTGAGATTCGCCAATATCCTCCGAGCCCGAATGCACCCGCATTCTACCCCTACCTCCAGATGAGGAAAAAAACTAGCAAAATCCGGGACACTGAAGCGCCAAGAAAGCTATAGCGCCGCCCTCCAATAAACCTAGATTTGCTAGGACCGCCGCCGCCGTGGAACCTAAGGCCTTCACCGCTCTAATGCGATGAGGAGAACCCTAGGCGCCGCGAAGAGGAGCTTATATCACTAAGGTTGTTTTTAATTAAACCGTGATTTTATGGTCTGGTCTGGTCTAGTCTGATTTATTTGAGTCCGGTTCGATAGATGTTGTTCAATGTGCATTTTACAACTCCCAAAGTATGGGTTGATCTCATCTAATCCGATCTTTTTAAAACCATCCTAACATATCATCCATTGCATCTCATTTGGTGGCCGCCGCTTGAAGTTTGTGCTTATCAATCATGGATGGACACGGTCAAGTTCTGGACCGGTACCACTCTCCCAGACCAGTTAGTTCTTGAAGATGAACTACAAGCCTCAAGACGAGGACTTCTATTTCCGGTTTCAAGCCCAATTTTGGTTGCTCGCTGGTCTCACTTTTTATACATTTTTATATTGTTCATCCTCCTCCCCAATCTTTTTCAATTCTCAGATGTACTCTCACCCCTTTTAAACGGCTTCCCAATAGTTCAAATACAAAAAAAAAAAAAAAAAAAAAGTGGGACTGTAACTGGGACTAGATCGGTCAGTCCTAGTCTCACAAATTGAGTCCTAGCTAGGAAGTTGGACCGGGAACTCTTCCCGCTAGTGCAGTTCTAGTCCCGGCGCAGAACCTTATTTTCAGCCCTGGTCACAGCTCCCAAACAGGCCAATCACAAGACTGTGTCCTCCCATAATTGGTATGAGAAAGAGATCCTCTACAATATGGCAGAGGAAAGGTAATGGAACTTATGGAAGAGATATTTGCTAATGAAATAGCAAGCCTGCCATTGGCTTTGCTAATGATCAATTTTGTAATAAAAGGATGAATATGCGTAATCCACAGTCAGTGTTAGACTAACATTAATTAATAGCAAGCCTAGAGTACATGACCTCGACTCCTCTAGTGTCCTTTTTAGGAGTGCCAAAGGAACATGTTGCGTATAGTTAGCCACAAGTTAAAACAAGTCGTTGGAAACTTTTCCAAATAGGAAATATGGATTTTTATTAAGCTAAATATATGAAATGAAAAACAACTAAATTAACTAAGCAAGATAACCCATCAACCGAGGACTAACACCACAATGATTAGTGAAATTAAGATATTTTGCTAACACTAGTAAGAAAATAAATTAAAGGAACTAACCAAAAGAACCACTAATTAAGAAATACAGTTCATTTGGGAAAATATGGGAAACTCTAACACAGACTTTAAGTCTCCTAACATATCATCCTTACACTTAGGTGTAGGGTGTTAAAGATGTAGGCTAGATTAGTCATAATATCATAGACAAGGTATAATTGACTTCCAAAGTTTCATTTGCCGGATGATCTATGTACTATTGTACTAAGGAAAAAATGTTTAGGCACTGAAGTGAAAAATATACACAATCTTTCCTAAATTACACAAGCAAATTGTAAGGCTCAAAACAGGGTGATAGCAACACATGGACATAAGAAATTATACACTCAAAACAGAAGCTGAAGTAAAAAGTTCTATGGGATCGCAAACTTCATAAAACCAAGATATTCATAGGGTGGGGACTGGGGTGTTGAGGCAATGAAGTTACAAACCATCTCAGATTCACAAAGCTGCAACTTGTGATTAGAGATGGGTCAAATGGCTCTCACTGTAGAGAGAGCAGAGCAGGATAAAGAGAAAAGGAACAAAAGCATTAGAATGAATGTATATGGCAAGTTACATAAATAAATAAAAAAGACATTGTTCTGTAGATCAAAGGTCCTGCAGAGAAATCATATCATCTAAAACTAATAAACAAATGGAAGGAGTCTATATTGAACTTTCCTAGCATACTCCAAATATCTCTCACCAAAGGTCTCTACCATCAAGGCTTCCTCTAATTTAGCCTTTTCACCATAGTACACCAGGCATACCGCAACAACAAAGACAGTGCTGAAAGGTGCCCTTAACGTGATGCAAAAAGTAGCAAACAAGAGCATGGTTGATGCATATATGGGATGGCGAACGAACCGATAAGGTCCAAACTGCACGACCGCAGTGGGGACCACTACCTTCTCAGAATAATTGGCCAAATACAAGGTTGAATGATATTGCATGAATATTGTCATCATGATCAAAGCCCATATACCTGTATTGATCCATCTACCGCCTGTAATGAGATTCAACTCTGGACCTTCAAATGCTGCAAACCAATGGCCAACCAGAACACTGAAACTGAATAAAAGCTTCTGCCAATTGGGAAGGCTAATGTCCCACTTTTCATCATGCTCCCTTGGCAATAGATCACCATAAAGCCTCTTTCTAACACTCACATTGAGGAAAAAGAAATAATGGTACACGAAAAAGAACACCAACGGCCACCCCTCGAGATAGCCGCTGAAGTGGGCAGGTGGGACTAATGTTAGCCAAGTAAACGCTGAGGTGACAATGGCAATCTGCTCAAACTTGTTAGCTTCGCCACAAGAATGCTTTT